AAGAAGAGGCGGATGAGCGGAGAGGATGTAGTTAAAGACAGTAAAAAAGAAGCAGGGAAAGTGTACAGAGAAGTTAGGAAGGAGGAAAAGGACAAAAAGAGAGAGAAAAAGAAAAAAACTGCTGTGAATGGGACAATAAAATAAATCCCACATAATCTAAATAGTTTTTAAAATACATGGATTTCTGGGTAATCACTGTAAACTGAATAATAATTGAATCATCATCACCGCGTTAAATGAGCAGAGAAGCACATTTGTTTGAAATGATGGCTGAAAACTGTCATTTGTGATGTAAACAACTTACCTGGACGATATCGGTCGTGTATTTCCGACAAACCTCCTCAACAGACATTTTGTGTTCCGTCTACATAAAATTTAAAAAGAACATAAACTTAAAATGCATGTCAATTTCTATATGTTCACAATTACATTCAAGATAAATGAGGCATGTAATCTAATGACACTAACAAGGAAAGTAAAAAGGGCTGGTGGTGAGGAGGTTTTAAGTTTTAAAATGTATTGATTGTTGAACTTGCGAGTCACAGACTGTGGTAGAGCCCCACCTACTGCACTGTGGGTCTGTGGCTGAAATATTAACGTTTTACAAAAACAATCACCAGTAGGCTCCTCAAAGAGGTTTGGCCTTTCTTCAGGACGTGTACGGACCCAGTCCTCTAGTTATACAGTAACCTATAGCTCTGGCATTCTGCCCCATACAGGATCAAATCCTTCCCCAACAGGATTAAAATCATACTATCTCAAGCCCGACTCAGCTGGGACTTTTGTTTATTCTGTCTGTGATGGTGACTACATTTGCTTTGATTTTAAATCTGATTTTTGGGTACTCATGTGCCTCCAATCTGGAAAAAGATTAGGAAAAAACTAAAAATATAAACCTCCTGCCAGAGGAAATGGCACTAAGGTCACAGGAGGAGGAAGCAGAGTACGTACTATGGGAACTTCCTTCTTCAGGTCATCCAGATCTTTGCCTCCCTTCTTCTTGGGAGAGTCCTTGTCATCCTTGTCCTGTGTGGTGGCCACACGGTAGCTGTCCGACCGTCCATACTGTAACACAAAAAGACGAGAACACTGAGTTTGGGGTATTACATGGACAGTATTTCAGTTTTTACCAGCTGACACTTATTCTCACTGTGACACAGAGGATGGTTTCTATTGATCACTGCACCAAACAATCCAAGCCAAAATGATCTATATAATGGAATCACCACTTGAGAGAAAAGGCAGGAAAGTCATGGCAAAGATAGAAAATGAAACCCCTGGTATTCCTACTTATGGCCGCAATTGCAGCTTTTCATTTAGGAAAATCACAGATAACACAAATAACAGTAAGAACAAACTTATCTCCTTCCATATTAAGACGCAGTCAAAACATCTAGATTTAGATCCCAATTTAGCCGTAATCCCCTGGTGTGAGAAGGAGAAGTCGACACTTCCTGATTAGATCTGGCATCATTAGAGCACAGACCCGTCTCAAGAGCTGCACTTAATGGCAGTTTACACCACTGCTATTCAGACCACACACACTGCTGCTGTGTCTGAGAGGGGGAGGACATGTGAAACCAGCCAGGAGCAAGTGTGAACATGGGAAAATGAAATGCCAGAAGGTGGAAAGAGAGAGGGAAGGGATCGTTCAGGACCCAGGATAGAAGAAAAATAAAATGACTATGATATATGATTCAGTTGCCAGCGTCCTGGCCGTCACAAAGCCCTGGCCTCAATCCAAAAGAAAATTTGTGGGCAGAACTGAAAAAGTGTGTGCGAGCAAGGAGTCCTACAAACCTGACCCAGTTCTCTCTGGAGGAATGGGTTGAAATTCCAAAAACTTATTAGAAGAAACTTGTGGAAGGTGTCCCGAAACATCTGACCCAAGTTAAACCATTTAAAGGCAATGCTCCCAAATTCCAACACAGTGTATATAAAACTTCGAACCCACTGGGAACATGAAGAAGGAACTAAAAGCTGAAACAAATCTTTTTCTCTGCTATTCTGACATTTCACATTCTTAAGCAGACTAGTTATCTTAACTGACTTAAGACAGGGAATGTTTATAGGATCAAATGTCTGGAGTTGTGAAAATCATTTTTACTGGTAACAGGAATAGCGGATGAGGAGTTAACAGGAATGCTAAAATGGACACAACAGAAACAACTACACATTTTTGAATAACTAATCAAACCTGCTAAGATTGAATGCTTCATATCTGGCTGTGGAATAACTGCAGTATAACGGAAAGTGGAGCTGCAGGTTCAGCGTACGGGAAACCAACCCGTCTGAACAAGCTGTAATTACAAAACAATCACTTTCAAGAATTGTTTTGTAGAAATCAATCTTTTTCTCGTTTCCAGTGTCTATTTTTACTTTCATGAGACAAACACCAGGAAAGCTGTGAGGCAAAAAGCAAGACATAGGCAATCAACTGTGGAACAAGTAGATCCAAACACTGATGGTCCAGCCACTAAACCAAGGACAGATGTTTTTAGAAGCACAGACACAGTGAAAAAAAAATGGGAAGCAAGGTGAATCAGGTGAAGTGTGGGTAATTAAATAAAACCACTGCTCGAGGAAATCTCTTTCTTTTAATTTTTAGAATGTAAATAGTCTGTTTAACCTTATGAAGCTCATTTAGTGTGCAGCCAAATGTATGGCTACTTGCTACTGGAGATACATTTGTTCATCAGGCAGATATTCACCAAACCCTACTACAAACCAGACTTACTTTGGAAAAGCTCTTATGTGGATTAGTCTTGGCTGAGAGGTTCCACAATGATTTGATGGCTGTTTGCCATCTGTTTTTTCCTCACTGGAGCAAAAGCAGGGAGAGTGGAGGCTTGTTGACAATCAACCAAATGGGTTTTACCTCTGCTTACTTCTACACATTTGTACATGGGCGCTGTCGCTGTTTTACTTTAGAGTTTGTGCATTTATGACATTAAAGTTTTACCTTGTACATGCATGCATCATCATGGCCTGTAGTACAGCTAGTCAATTTTTTAAAATCTATGTCAATTACCAGGCCTCTAATAGGAGATAGACTGACCAATCATGTCAATTTATTTGCACAGTTAATTAATTCAAATGTTCAGTTTTGTTTTTCCCCCCAATTAATTCTTCATTTAATCTCAATTATGTACTCTGGAGCTGCTGCTGCCATCTCAGATAGCTACAAACATTTCAGCATTAAATCAGACTCAAGAATTAATGTCTCAATTAATCATGATTGTTTTATTAGAAAACCACCAGATAAACCTCACAAAATAGTCAAACATGCCCTGTATAATTTCCCACAGCCCAAGATAATGTCTTTAAAAGCCAGGTTTGCTATGACCAACAATCCAAAGCTATGACAAAACAAAGCATCAAGGCTGGAAGTAGAAAATGGAGACAGCAGCGTTTGCTTGTACACTGTGTTGAAACACATGCAACGGCACAAGAACGATTACACTGGCAGCTTTAGAGGGAACAATTCATGCTGGTTGTTTAGTTGCATAGTGTGTTCATGTATGTGTAGCACATCTCATTCTAGTGTTCTTCTGTGAGGGACACTTATTCCATCTGTGCAGTTTTGGGTTTTTTTTTTTTTTTCCAGGTTCACTGGAAAGATTTTTCTATGCTTGTGTTTTTCTGTGTCTTCTGTATATGTGGGCGTGTGTGTGTGTGTGCATCTCTTTCTGGGTGTGTTGCCATCTGTCAGGAGGTGCAGAGTAACCCTGGCAGTCATGTCCAGATGGCCATCAGATTATGGATGTTTACTATGGTGACAGATTAACCCACTGAACAATAATAATCCCTGTCTCTATCTCTCTTTCCCATCTTTTTGTCTTTAGTTCATCCATATTCATTCACTTATTTACACTGTTGAAATAGCTTCTGTCTCTGGCATAAAAGCACTGAATACATGAACAAGCAAGTGCAATGACTCAGTCCAGGAAAGTTAGTTTCTTTCTATTTACAGCAGAATCGCTCTTTTTCAGCTTCATCTGCAAACATCGGTTACAAAGTTAATTACATGTATCGTAAATCACGCCAGCTGTGCTATAGAGTGATGTGTTTGTGTCCTTTGGTTTGACTATTTTACCCCAAGGAACACCCTACAGAGAGATTCAGGAACATCACTAATGTGCATGAGTCAAACAGACAACATGGCTGAACATAAAATGGCTGAAGTTACAGTACATGTGGTTCGTGCCGCAAATCCAAACAAGTCTCTTTAGTGTCTAAATTCAATTAACAACTCAGGATCATCAGCAACTGTATAAACTGCCAGGTATGTGTGATAATGAGGGATGCACCAGTACCACTCTCTTGTACTTATACTCATAAAAGTTGTCCGATACTACACACTAATAGCAACATTAAGTTAACCTTACGCTGGTTGAGCAGGGTGTTAGACAGCAAAGAAGAAATTTCAGTGGTTCGTGGATATTTTAAGGTAAGCGATGACGACAAGAGTAAAGCCGACTGAAGACTCAGCTTCTCTGCGCTGTGTCTCTCTGACAGGGAGGGAGTAGGGCTGTCACTTTTCCCAAAAATCATGTTTGAATTAATTCAAACATAACCAACACAACGTAATTATTCCAAATTCAAATAAAAAGTGACAGCCATAGAAGGGAGGGGTGCTCACACATACACAGCGGAGCAGAGATGATGTTGTATTTTACTGAGATGCCATTGCTCAATATGTGCAACAAAAGCCAACAGTAATGGAGTAAACACCTGTTGAATGAGGGAGCACAACAACAAACTTGCAGAAACGTCTTCACTCTCCCCGTAGTGAAAATGCCTTGTTCTGCTTATTCACCAAACCCACATGGTGCTGATTGTAGTGAAGTGTTGTGAACAAGAAGAAAAACATGAACTGATTTTATGCAGTTGAATTCTTGTGGACTTGGAAGCTGAGACCGAGCAGCTCCTCTACAGCAATGTCTGTCCAGCAGCGAGGACAGGATGAAGTCACATCCAGTCACCAGTTAAGAGCATGCACCCTGAGTAAATTAATCACAATCACAAAGTGAATCTCATGAAAAAAAACCTTCCAAAGTCACTGCACTTTTATAGTAATTGTAACTTTTAGAGTAGAAACACTTCATTATTATTAAGCACTTGTGTTGGTTCTCTGTATCGGCAAGTACGCGTATGTAAGTACTTGCACTCATAATTATTGTTATTCATATCCAGTAACTCTACCTGCTTAGATTGAAAAAAAAAGGAGTAGATGAAGAAGATTTCCAGTCCTCATATGAAGAGACTGCATGAATAAACACCTGCCAGTGGTTCTTGACAACACCACCTAAACACTGCTTATGCTGCCATAATGTTAAAAACAATCAGCAGTTATGAAAAGCCAGTCACAGTGATCTCACAGTCAACAATAACAGCTGTTCAAGTTAAACAATGTTGGACTCATCACTTGATGCCTATATTCTATAATAAATCTTCAAGACCCCGTAACAAGCAACATCGGTCCCCATCCCTGCCCCATGTAATGGTGTGATTTCATACACACCATTACATGGGCAAAACGCAGGCCAGTCTGTTGACTGACAACCACTGGTCCAGTTAAATATACTCAGTGTCAACAGGACAGCCTAAGCCCCCCTGTTTGCTTGTAGTAACTAAGATGGCTGTCAGCGTGATCTCTGTTCAGCCACACCAGTCGTCATGGTGCCTGAAATATGAGGAGACATAACACATCAGGCTAATGCGCTTTCTACCCTCTCCTCACTGTCCTGGTATCAACCAGTAGTGACTCCTCTGAATAAAATATCTGTATTATCAGCAACCCCAACACTGTTTAAGGTCTGTGTGAGAGTACAGGGTTGTCAGGTGGGCACCCTCTCGATAACCTGGGCCCACGACACAGAAAAGGCCCGACAGTGTGGTCCAGTGCCCAAGAACAATTACAGTCAAATTTCCCAATTCTGCAAGTGAGCACTACAGCATCTCTTCTATTCTGTAGCCATTTGCTGCTCTGGTTCTCCCTTCTCCTCTGCCCTTATGCTCACGTACTGTACAGCACCACACACTCACTCAGGATGAAGACTGCCGAGGCGGCGGGGCCGCCCACTCAAGCACAAATACAGACCTTTCAGTGCTGCAGCATCTTAGGATGTATGAAGTCACAGAAACACTATGAAGTGCACATTGCCAACTACAATAAATGTATATATATATAATAAATAAAGGTATATATTTATATCCAGTGATCTTATCAGCTAATGTACCTTCATAAGCTGGAATGAGAATAACAATAATAATAATAATAATAATTTTTAGTATTATTATTATTATTATTATTAGATCAGTATCTCTGTGTTACAGCTTTCCAAGCTATTTGAAATAATTCAAATTGTTTATTGTTATTTCTTATTTTATATGAAAGTGTCAGAATGCTGGATTGCTGCCTGTTTCCAATGCTCATGTCCTTGGTCAGTGACAGCTGCAAATGCAAAGTGTAACAGCAGCCTTCATACTATGAGACCTAGCTAAAATATCCACCAGCTGGCACTGAGCCATCTGGTAGGGAGCCATGTTCAGTGGGAGGTATTTAGCCTATTTTTCAGAGGAATCTGATGATGTGCCAGTGACCAAAGTGTCCCATTTGTCACTACAAATCTTGAATGGTGACTGTTGACTCCAGTGGGGTTTAGTGGCGATGGTGGTGAATTATGGTAACAAACAAACCACTGGATTATCACACAAGCTGCTGGACCAAGAAAATACTGATGGCTGACTGGCACACAAACCCAAAGAGTGGTCTTCCATCATTATCAGCTTCTCACTTTGTTTACGTTCTCCTCCCACCAGGCTTACCATCTGTTTCTATTCTGATCTACTCATCTGCACCAAGGTTTAATGAAGATCGAGTCTGAGCCACACTCCTGGTGCAGACTGTGTGGTAATAGTACTGGGTTTTAACATACAGTACACGTGCTTCCACTGACACATGCAGATGAAAGCCACAGAAGGACGGTATCAGAAACCAGGATGGCAGTCAGTCAACTTCTAATAAACCACAGATTCTGTGCTGCTCCCCACCATTTAGCGCTATGTCACCTCCTGCAGTGCTGCATGTCTGAGAGTGTGATAGAAAATGGCAGTTGCTAACAAAATCATCACATTGAAGGCATCTATTCACAATGGGCGAATGGCTGAGGGACGCAAGGTTTCCTAGTAACATCCAATAAACTGGTTCCATCTAAATAACTGAAGTCAACTGGGGTAGAGGAAAAGCCACAGACCTTCAATGTTGTTCAAAAACGATTAAAAACACATCCATGGAAACTCACCCCTGCAGTGGGTGACAGGTTTCTTCATTACAAAACACCAGACTCGTAAATTTCTTAGAAATGTTGCTGCAAAATCTTCAAGCGACCATAATTTTTTTTTACAGCATCTGAAGTAAACAAGAGTCAGTTCCTCACACGGGCTCGCCATCATGATAACTGTGAGCCACGGGCAATGGACGACGGTGTTGTCCACTGGCCCTGCCCTAAAGTACTCTCACACTCTCATGCCCTCTGTGTGCTATTGTTACAGCAGGTGCAGAAAACAAGTAGACATCTTTGACAGAAAGTCAACCCACGCAAGCCTGACAAACAGGAATCGCAGTTAAAGAGTGAAGAGATTCACTTGCATGAGAAAAACCCGATCACACTCATTCACACATGCATGTTGTGTTTCAGTCACTTCAGGGGACATTACATTGATTTCCTAGCAACTTACCAAGCCCTAACCTAACCCCACCTCAACCTTAAACCAGTTTATCACTCTAAGATTTAATGATTTATGTTTTGGAGACTTGCTTTATGTCCCCATAAGGACAGCAATCCCCACGGTGTGACTGTGTAAACAGATTTACACCCCCACAACAAAGCAGGCCCCACACACACTCTGTCACACAGGTGGAAACCAGCAAGGGACTGGAGGTTCTCAGCCGCCCAGTCTGTGCTGATGAGATATTGACAGACTGAAACAATTACACAAACATCCATTGCCAAAAGAACATGCCAATGCATTGTGTAACTACAGAGTTACATACTAAATGGTAAACTTTGTATTAGGGCTGAAACGTTGAGCTTAAGCTTCTGCACCAAGTTCATTATGGCATATTAACAGATGTGTTCATCCTATTTCTCCTCTATGCTGTTCATCTCTTCATGTTCTCCTTCAGCTCCACCACTGCTCTGTCCTCTGTGTCACTGTCACTTAACATGAGCAGCATCCCAGCATCTCATCCTGCATTTCTCCACTCATCTGTCCTTCCCAGCATTCACCCATCTCAAGGAGACTCACCCCATGGGAATCTCTCTCTGCCTCTGTCTCCTCCTCAACTCCCATCATTCTGTGTCAATCACAGCATGGTCAGTGTTCCTCTAAGCAGGCCCTCCCTCTCTGTGACCTTTGTCTCATCTCTGCCTTGCATCCTTTCACCACCAACAGAATCGCTTCCTCCTGCAGTAACAGCCCTCATCAATGGATCAAATGGCCACAGTTGCCTTGTAAACTGAGCCTCCCTCTGGTCCACCCCACCACCGCCCGGTTCACTCGACTCTCCTCTTACTCTACCCCTCCTGATGGCAAATCACAGCCTCAGCATGGGAGTTTCCACTCCACCCCCCTGTGCACACTCACACACACCACCCTACTCTTCCACTCTTTGACGCAGTAGTCAGAGTTGTGTGTAGTTTCCCCCTCTGGCAATCTAACGGACAGCATCACAAACAGAGCGGCACTGTTTCCACAGCTCAGCCTGAATACACGCTCATCCTAACCCCCCAAACCCAGATGGGGAGCAGAGGAGAAGCCACTGCCTACCATACTTCCTAACAGGGATAGACGGTATAGAGACTGAGCTACAATTATCCTACAGTATGTCTGCATGCTTCTACAAACCCCACAGACCACAGCAAAACTTGGTACTATAATGCAAGTTCATAAACAGTGATACCACAGATGAATTTAAGGTTATAACACACACTACGGACTAGGGACACTGGATAATGCCTTATAATAACACTACAGGAATGTAACACTGATTTTATTCCATAGCAATGACATTCATGGAGTCTCAATTTAGTGCCTAGAACAAGATGTCCTTCATAGCCTGACAGATCAGTGAGGGTTTGGGAGGCTGCAGGGGTAAACACTAAGCTGGAGGTGTTGGCTGTGTCCACCTTTGTAGAGAGCCTCATCCTCTGGAACCTGAGGTCGACATCCTTAGGAGAAGGGGGTGAGGGAGGGGGTCGACCACTGGCGAGGAACCATTTTGACGCACTTGTCTGTGCCCATTTGGTACCCAGACCAAAGCTGCCTCTACACCCTCACCTAGCCCAGCAACGCCAATGACAGCAGGATGATGCATCATCTTATTATGTAACGTTTGCATGAAATATGCACCAAATGCTCAGTAGAAAAAAAACTGAACCGGCACAATCATAATCAAATCATGGCTTTGATTCCCAATCCCCACTCCGTGGGGATCTGGATTTCCACTTCGTGCCATCATACTCCAAATGTGATATATTCGATAGTTTCTAGAGCTTTCTTTTATTTGACATGAGTGCCAAGAAACAGCTGCCGCCATGTATATGGTGATGAAGAGTTACTGCAGTCAGACTTGGAGGAATGACATGATATTCCGCAATCTGGGCTGCGGTTTTCACCATATAGGTTACATGTTCCCGTGCGTAATTGCTACATATTAGTCACAAACGATTCCGTTTCTGTCTGGACTCATCCGTGGCAGTAAATATCCTCAGTCGTCTGCAGCGGGTCCGGCCAGATGTTCGGTCGGTGGTGTGAGCTCGTTTTTTAGAACCGGTGGATGAAGCAGACATCTTTCTGCTCAATAATCAGTGCTTGTTAAAAACCTATTAACCCTGTTTCTGACGTTGGTCAGCACACTGGGCCCTTTCTCCGATTTGGTACGGATACTCGTTACATTACTTTTGCGTTACAGCGCCAAAAACTCCAGTAAGATATTCAGACGGCTTAAAAATTAAGACAACCGGTGTGTGTTAGCTGTGGGTGGTGATATAATTAAACAGTGTGTATGTCAAACTGATTTAGACTGTTGGGTGATTAAAACTGAAGCTGTACCTCCACCCTATCAAAGTACTGTACACTCCACCGCCTCTTATCCACTGAGGAAAACGCATCCGCTTTGACGGAAGGGAAGCTGCTTTACTGTGATGTGGGCTAAAGATGGCAGCAATAGTAACTTATCTGTCATTTGGATGAGAGCTGTACAATTGCTGCGTAGTCCGAAACACTAAAAGATGATGGCCGTTACTGTAACGCGTTACCATTCTGCACCGGTTGTGTCGCACCGGCTGGAGTCGGGATGCGGCGGATTGACTCGCACATCTGTCGCATGTCTCAAAAAACAGTCGAAGCAGAAATCATCCTCTCTGTCATCCGTGAATCTCAGCCCTTATCATAATCTGCAGCGCGTTGATTTGCTCTGATAAATAACGTTAACATTTAACAACCGATGACGAATGCGATGAATTTCCGAGCGCAGTTATATCAGACTGGCTGACTGTGGAAATTCGTGCAGCGGTGCATTTTAAACAGTTTGCCTCGTAACCTAACAGCTGCCTTAGACATTCGTATATACTCCACGGTGTTCAATGTCATTCTGTCACCATGCTTATGCCTCCATGCGCTTTAACCCTTTCCCCAGCGACACACTAACCCGTAACGTTACCGAGCACAGACTGTGGGGCTAACTTGAACAGTCCACAGATTTTGCAACGCATTAGCTAAGTAGGCTAAACCACAGGAAATGTAGCTCTTACCCCCATGTCGGCGCAATAAGTCGGGTCTCCTCGGAAGATGAATCGCTTTTAGGCTTGGTTCAACCAGAAACGCTGGCGTTGAGGGGGGGAGACAGGCAGAAAGCAGGTTCTCGTCTGATAATCAGAAGACAATGTCTCCTTACAGCTGACAGCTTTTGCTCTAATGACAAAAACAACTAGCTAACATAATATCCTAAAATAGCATTATTTTAAGATAAACGAACATAAGGTAACTTGACAAGGTAACGCTTCATCGAACACGTCGGCAAAGCTGAAACCCGTCCAGATTAAAATCAAAAGGGTTTCTTTATTTCTGCATAAAATATTAAAACTTCCCGCAGCCGTAGGTGACACTCCAGCAGCCCTCTCCCCTTAAAGCGCAAATGATGCCGGTGGAAAGTAGACCCGGACAGCAGGATGCTGTCTCTCTCCGCGGCTGCGCACCCACTACTGCAGCACTCAGGGTTCCCCGATTCTCACTCCGCGGATAAAACAAGGGCCAATACGTGCTCAGATTGGTGCAGTATAATGGTAGAAAGTAACTTTGTACATTTACTTAAGCACTGTACTTATGTGCAGTTTTGAGGTATCTGCACTTTACTTCCATCCATCCATCCATTTTCCTCCACTTATCCGGGACCGGGTCGCGGGGGCAGCAGTCTAAGCAAAGATGCCCAGACTTCCCTCTCTCCAGACACTTCCTCCAGCTCCTCCGGGGGAATGC